AGTATAGGTCGCACCGCAAGGGCCGGATTTTTGCAGTGGATTTACTAATTTTGCGGTGGATTCGAGTATATTTGCGGTGGATTTAATTAAGTTCTCCTCTACTCTTCCTCCTCCTCCTCCTCTTCCTCCTCCTTCTTCCTCCTCCTCTCCTCCTCCTCCTCCTCTCCTCCTTCCCCTCCTCTCCTCTAATCCTCCTCTCCTCATCTCCTCCTCCTTTTCCTATTTCTTCTCTGGATGAAATAATAAGCTAGAACTATTAGACTTGTCCAAACTTGTCAAACAATAAATCCATGGCGTCAATTGGTCGTCATGGCAACTTCACAATACCTACCCGTCATTTTATGGTAATAAGTAATGAAAATAATTAAATCCACCGCATATGATACACGTAATGCGTGACGTATTAGAACTTAATTAAATCCACCGCAAATATATTCGAATCCACCGCAAAATTAGTAAATCCACTGCAAAAATCCGGCCCGTGCGGTGCGACCTATACTACTCAAGCTAAGAAATCAAACCTGAACCCCAAAGGCGAGAAGTGTGCTACCACTTGGCGACACTTGACTAAAGTTTGACAGCATATATCATTGCATGCCATTGCAAAATTAGGATATTTCCTTGGTATTAACTAATATATTTGATATAGTTTCCATGGAAGACTTGCTTACTCTTGCATCTAAATCAGTACCAACATTGGCTGGCATCAAATTCTCATCAGCCAATTTAATGGACCTAAGAAGATGCCTTTTGTTGGATGGTGGAAAATTTCAAATGCTCTTTGGAAAAGATGAGGTAAAGAACATGGCCCGCGGGTTGTACGAAGGGTGAATGAAATAATCTATCGGATAAGGAATAATCCGTTGGATAGCGCTATCCAGGCTTCGTACAACCGGGCCTATAACTGTGTATTTCTATGTTGACTTAGTCAACTAGGAGCCAGGGTGAACCATTGATGGATAGCAAGAAGCCATCTGGTTTGTTCGTTTATTTGTTTGTTTGTTTKTTTTTTAATTATTATTATTWWTTTTTTTTTAATGCCCCTGAAAAAATAAAGAAATAGATAGTGGAAAACCGTGCCTTCAGCCCACATATTCGATACCTCGGGCACATACAGTTTTTCCCTATCCGGACCGACTAAAGACGGTAAATAACTTATTTAATTAATTGCAGCTCAGCTGCATTTATGTTTCTGCAATATTTTACTATTTAGCAATATCTTGGTGCTGTTGCTTTGGGAGTCAATGCAGCTATCGGGTCGTAAGTATTGTGACGACAGAGAATTTTAGCCGAGTTAATGATTAGCTCAACCGTTCAATATTTAATTCAATTTAGTCAATAAGTCAAATTCAAGCCCAGTTGGTCATAATAGCAGGATAAAAGTTATAGTAACTTTAGGAAGTCTTTTCTTACTACAAAG